AGTTATGCTCCTGTTGATTTTTGGCTGTTTTAGGAATTTTATGCCTTAAATTAACCATGATCATACTTCTTTTACATGTTCAACAACTACATTAATTAGAAATACTGCTATGTATGTTATTGTTTTCCCTAACTGCCAAAGTTACTGGCATGTGCAATCAATGCTGCTTGCATGGCAATGATTGATGCTGGTTTTCCAATGAAATGTTTAGTTTGTGCTGTATCATGTGCATTAAATGAGTCTGGTGACATTCAGCTGGATCCTTCCCTGGAGAAAGAAAAGGTAATAGGTAGAAAATGATTAATTTAATGTTGAGGATTTTTTGATGAAAATGTTGAAATTGTCTGATGTAAGAATGTAAGCCTTTTTGCGAAGTTTTCTCTTTCAAAAGCACAAATTGTTAAGAGTGATAAAAGTTTTTGTTCATACCTTAATTCAGCAGTTTTGTTGAACCTTTTAAACCCCAGGAGTGATTGGTATCTTATTTCTCCTTACACTACCACTGCTGAATCAATCATTAAGGCCATGAGAATAAGGTACATGATCATCCATCAGAGAAGCTCTTGATTAGTTAACAAATTCTCCTTGTCAGCACCTTAGGAAATGTATAGAGAAAAGTATGGAGAATATGCATACTGATCTCAGGACGCAAAGGGTTAAAAGTACCATCAAAGAATGGACCATTGATCTTTGATTTTTTTTTTCTCACAGTCAGCTTGTGCAGTGATGACATTTGCGTTTGATAGTGCCAACAAAAATGTGATGACCTCATCAACAACAGGGAGTTTTACAGTACAGGAGGTAAAAGATTGTTTAACCCATTAACTCCCTTGAGAGACCAAGACAGAATTTCTCCTTACAATATCAAATACAATATCAACTAGATATGTGATGAGAATAAAGAAAAATATCAATTTGAGGATAATTAGTCAATCCAATGCTAAATTCTCTGAATGTAATTGTAAGAGTTGTATAGTTGACAGTAAGGAGAAAGACAAATTTGATCTGGGAGTTAAAGGGTTAAAGTTTACGTTACTTTTTTGTGGCCAGCTTTGTACTATTTTGCTTTAAGATAAAGAGAAAACAGTGCTCTTGCTGTTTTGTGGCCAAACAGACTGGAAATGAATTCTCCAAATTCTCTTTGTCTGTCAGCACCTTAAGAAATATACAGAGAACAGTATGGAGAATATGCATACTGATTTTAGTGTGTAAAGGGTTATAGGGTACAACCACTCTTTGATTACTTCCTTTTTATAGTACGACAGGTGTCTGGAAGCATGTCGCTCTGCTGCTACTAAGCTATTTGACTTCTTCAGACTATCTGTGGAAAGGAAGCTTTCCAAGGTAAACTTTCTTTTGTCTGCTTAAGTTATTACACTCTTTTTTCTTCACCAGAACAGCTAATTCTAGAGCTGACTTTGAGCATAGTTAAAACTTGCCGTAATTTTGATTGTGTTTGGAGCTTTAAAACTGTCTTATGATGTTCTCGAGATTACATTCCAACAAGACTTGAAAACCTTTTATCAAGATTTCGTACAAGACATTTATTGTCCTAAGTGTGAGACAAAATGTTTATTTTTATCTCAAGGAGATTGAACTCAAGGGCCTAGGCGTTTTTGCTGTATAAAGCAAGTAAAATTTCCAAGGTTTTTGGATATTTCTCCCTGAGGGAAACCATGTATTCTCCTCTGTAACAATAAATAATCCATTACTGAAAAAGATTTAGTTACCAGTACAACTTCAAACTGAATGATCCTTGTGGTACTGTTATATCATTTCTATCAGAGTTGTTACTTATCAGTTTTAATTTTTCTTTCAACAGGATGCTAAGTTTATGGACATAAACATTGCATAGTTATATCTGTGATATTTAATTCACACAGTCTGCAGTGCAAAAACTGCACAGGAGTGTGATTCAGTGTTTAACTGGGTCACATATGAAGAGTGGTCCAGGTTGACTGTTTGTTAATCATCGATGGTCTTTGGTTGAAGAATCAAATAGAGAAGCAATCTTATGGCCAGTCTTATGGATCAAATGAACTACAGTCTTGACCAGTTGGGTCACTTAATCAGCTCACAAAGTTCCGCAGGATATTCCTGAGGGTATTTCATTAAATGATCCATGTACAAAATAGATTTGAATGTCTGTGCATCTATTCAGTAACAGATCACAGATTAATATTGGCACACAAGGTGTAACATTTTGATGTCCCCTGTGCTCTAGAACTCAACAGACTCATGGCAACATGGAATGTACTTGTTTCACATAATAAGAAATAAAAAAAATTGTTTATGGTGACTTTATTTGTGTCTATCCTCTAGTAGATCATAAGTAAGAATCAACCAAATTTTTAATTATTCAGCTTATTTCCCTTGTACTATTTCTTCAAGTATGGAGTATTGTGTACCCCATAGGGCATTACTCTCACCTTTCAACTCACAAGATCTAGTTGTTAATTCTCCCTTCTGGCTGCTACACATTTCCTTGTAAATTAGTTGCAAGAACTTGGTATTAGATCAAGATAACAACTTGTACTGGATAAGTTTGAGAATTCTCATAACCTGTTTGTTGGATAACGAATGGATATTACAGGGAGAAGTTACATGTTAATCACTTTTGGGAGTTAAAGGGTTAAAAGGAGGCCCTTGTGCACTGTCAGCTCTCTAAAATGCCCACATTATGGATAAAAAAAGTCAATGTTTATCTCTGACTCATAATATCAAGATGGTACTTAAAAATGTGTTGGATAACTTCATCTTAAAGTACCATCCAAGTATTATGAGCCAGTTACAGGCATTAACTCTTTAACTCCCAAGATCGGATTGTTAATTCTCTCCTCTAGCTGCCACACATTTCCTTGTAAATTAGTTATAAGAATTTGGGGTTGGATCAAGATCATAACTTAAACTTGATAAGTATGAGTATTCTCATTACCTGTTTGCTGAATAATGTACATGTTGTGGTTCAATTTTATCCTTGGTTCAAATTGTATTTTTCTTGTTTCAAACTCATTATCATACATTACAATACCCAAACGTAAAAGAAAATAAAATTTAAACCAGGGATAAAATTGAACTACAACATATACATATTATAGGGAGAAGTTACATGTTAATCACATCCAGGAGTTTAAGGGTTAGAAGTCAATTATTAGAACAAATTCTTAACTAGGCCATAGATTCAGACAAAGTAAACAAGTAGGTAAACTTGTGTTTGTCAAATAAATTTTTATTTTTGCTAATATTTGGTGAAATGAGCACACGAGCAATGGTTTGTTCTTTGGTCAAAATTTTCTTACCTTGTTTTGTGACTGTTTAATAAAAGAGCTATTGTGTTATAAGTAAATAAGTCTAGTAAAAATGATATTTAAAAAGGAAAATATACACAATTAAAACATGAGCTTCTGTGTCAACAAATCTTCATCCTTCTTCATTTGTTAATGCTAATTACGTCAGTGAAGTGATGGTTTGGCAAACTGTTCCACTTGTCCACTTTGACAAAAGGGCTGAGTTGTTTGAAGAATAATGAGCACAACTCCATGTTTAGCCCTTTGACCCCTGTGAATGACTAAGATCTAATTTCTCTTCACAACATCACCCCTGAGTCACACATTAAGGTCATGAGAATAAAGGAAATGATCACCAACTAAAGAGACTCTTAATTGCTAAACGAATTCTGTTTGGCAGCACCTCAGGAAATGTATAGAGAACAGTATGGAGAATCTTTATACTAATATTAGGGTATAAAGGGTGAACTGCCACATCAATTAATAGTTCTTCTAGGCACTTAACCTGGGATCAGTTTCAAAACACTGCCCAGTGCATTTATTTATATATTAACCATTTCAATTTATTTACAATATGATATCTACAGCTTAAACTTGGCACATGAAATAATTTAATTTGTTAAATATTTGTGTTTTAAATATGTCAAAACCATACGACCCATCATCTTGCGGGAAACACACTCTATAATTTAATTCTAACACTAATGATGAAAGGACATAACCAGTAGGTATATAAGAAAATTTACATAACTGTTTCCCTCATCTGCTCTGCAATTATTAAAAGATGTCACTATAACTACAATCTCAGGTATCCCCTCTTACCACCCCCCCCACCTACCCCAGCTAGTCCCTCTTTTCCCTCCCCTCCAAAAATATGACCCTGCCCTTTGCTTGTTTATAATCCACTTGAAGCTTCACTGTCATCAACCGGGGGCAGAGGAGCCTCTTTCAGGTGACTCTCCAGACCCAGTAAGATTTGAATAAGTTTCATAGTGTTTTGAGCAGTTTTCAGTACTTCTTCCTCAGTTCCAATGGCAGGGTTGAATTCCACTACATCAATACCGGACAGGCATCCTATACATTAACAAAAGACATGATCGTAATTTAGACTATCAGAGGAAAGAGGGAAGGAGAAGTTACCCCTTAAAAGCAGGCAGTTCATTCAATAAAGTGAGAGTGACTTTGACTGGAAAATACAAGCAGGAGATAACAAACATGAGCTCATGTGTCTGCTCTCTAATGTGTCATGTGTTAGCAGCTAGGGTCCTATCCACCCAATCTTTCAAAGGGCAGATAATGCTATCCAATGGATAAGTCCCTATCCAGTGGATAAATGTTAACATTCTCTGCTACCCACTGGATAGAGATTTATCCAGCAAATAGTGTCATCCACCTTTTGACCAACCAGGACCTGCTCCATATTTACTTGCTTAGGATGATTGCACTTCATTCCCAACATCTTCCAATACTGTGGATGACTGTAGACTTTATTAACATTATATTTATCACAAACATACCTGACTGTGCCACAATCTGAGCAATGTAAATTCCTTCATCCAGTGTGAGGCCTCCTCTCACTAAACAAAACAAAAAAAAAAAAAAAAAAGGTTCCTTGCTTTATAAGTTACAAACTTATGCTAAGTTACAGGAAAAAATAATGTAGTATATTTACACTTTGAATGAAGCAAAACACCCACCTGGTGTTCCTGTGCTTGGAGTCTCTTTTGGATCCAAGGAATCAATATCATAACTTACATGAATTGGGCGGTTGCCACTAATGAAACAGCAACAAAAATAACGAAATTACTGCTATTTCAAAGCCTTAACTTTCAAGAGCAACTAACATCTATTCTCACCTCAATCGCCTCTGAAGAAGCTCTTAATTGCTGGACAAATTCTCCCTGTAAGTACCCCAGTAAATGTATAGAAAACAGTATGGAGAATATGCATACTGATGTAAAGGATTAAACCATAGGTCTTGCACATCAGCCTTTTGGCCCTCTACTGAAACTTATCTAAATGTTCTCCTCTACATGGAGGGACAGGAGGTATGGTTACTCCTTCTTAACTCTTTAACTCTCAAGACTTCATTAGTAATTCTTCCTATTGTCTGCCAAATGATTCTCATAATGTTAGTTTGGATAATTTGGTATTGGATCAATTAGTAATCCTATAATTGAAATTTTTCGTTATTCTCATCACTTGTCTGCATGATATTGTATTGATACAGTAAGGAGAAATTCCACCTTGGTCACTCATGGGAGTTAAAGGGTTAAGAAAGGATTCTATTCCATGGCAAAAAAAACCCCACACCCCCCTCCACTTTGCCAGCAATTGATCATGCCAAGTTTCCTTAACATTTGCTGACATCTAATATATTCCTAAGAGGGGAAGGGGTTCTGTGAGAATTTGAATTGTCTTTCTTTCAAACAAAACCCAATAATGCTACCCTGAGGGTTTTGCTGTGGACATTATATACCAAAATACAGTAATAGCTCACTATGGTCACAACTATTCCCTCAGGTTGGGGTCTTGAGAATACTCATTTTTACCTATGCTTCAGGAAAAAACCTTTGGCTGAAATAGCATGCAATAGATGTTGAAATGTCTGTGCATTGCTACATAACATCAAATAAATTTTTTGAATGAAATATTTATCAACATACTCTGGATTGATTTTTTCCAGAGCTTTTTCAATTATAACTCCAATTCCATCTTTGTCAACATCATCAATGGTGTATGCAGCAATCCCCAAATGTTTGCAGATGTCCCTAGAATCATAATATATCAAAGGTATCTAATGAATATGGAAAGAACAATGATCATACAACTCTGCTATAAATACTTGACTGCACAGACTGCACATTAACCCCTCATTTCCAACATCATTGAATATATCATCAATTAGGGGTGTAATGGTTTTTTTTGGTACACATAATAACCTTTCTTGGGGTTCAACATCTCTGAGTCCAATGTAAGCAATATCCCTTGGAGACAAACTAAAAAGTGGAAAAAAAAAGGTCAATTAAACTTGAGGCTTCTCCCTTTTAGGAAATGAACAATAACCAAGTTGCTCTTTTTAACTTACAGTTATATTAGAGACTGCAAAGAGATTGCGGTCCAAAGCCTTCTTGGGTTATGGATAATTCCACTTTTTAGCACTTTCAAAATCATTGTTTATAAATAACTAAACCATTTAATAGAGGTATACTGGATTATAATTGTATTCATTGATAAGTTTGCAAAATAGAAATTTGATACAGTTAGGAAAAGGTTAGGATTTCAATGCCATCTGGAAATTATTGAATACTTCCTCAACTCTGTATCCTACATTACTTAATATTCAATGGTTTCCACTGGCCACGAGCATTGCACAAGCCACATATAAATAGAATTAGGTACTATCTTTCCCTCACTGAGTCACACTACACTACTACAAATGAATCACATGGAAAAAGCTTGGAGTGAACAAACATTCAGCAGCAGCAATAATTTACCAGGGAGAACACCATTCATATCCAGGAAGGGAAGGAAACTGCAAAATAAAGATCAAACAAATTTAAAGTGATTTGTACTAAATGTGAATTTGAGATACAACAAATATCATTCTGCTGCCTCTGACTTTTCCATTGTTTTTTCCTTCATACCTTTAGAAATTGTCATGGGGGGGGATGATTTCATTACTGAGCTAGCTTATCTTAATCTTAGATATGGAATTAATTCAACCTGGAAATTGACCACTGCTTAGTGTCATGACTCAGAAAACCATAAATATTTAAAATATTTCTGCAATGTTCATTGTGTCATAAATAATCCCACCAGAGATCAAAACATGTGAGCAAACTAAAACACCACTAACTTATACTGTGACTGCTTACACTTTGTAAGTTTGCTCACACTTGGAGCCCATTAAAATCTCGAAAGTACCTGTAATTTAACAGACCCAAAGCTGTATTTCAATAAAAATTTTAAGAATAGAGAAACAGCTTCTAGCAACCTTACCAGTCCATTTCATTTCTCTAGCTGATAGTTTTATTGTATAATTTTCAAACCTTTTGAAACCCCCATCTTGAATGAAATCAGAACAGCTACATAGGCCCATTAAGTTACTGAGACCCACTAATTGGTTTTTTTCTCTTAGACAAAATAACATTACAGACTGAAATAACTCTGGTTTACACAGTTTTCTGAGATTCACACAATTTGGATGTTTTTTAGAACTGCAACACACGTGTGTGCTTTTCTATATTGCTATCCGTATACAGATTATCAGGGGCGTAACTAGGATTTTTAAAAAAGGGAGAGTCACACTGTGTCAGACAGAGGGTACTCACCATGCCCTGATAATTTCACTCAATGTGACAAAAAAGGCTTACAAAGGGGGGTCACAGGCACCCCAGAACCCTCCCCTAGCTACACCCTTGAGTATCTTGGTAACAAATTTGAAAGGTTGGTTATACCTCTGGAATGCCCTCGATTAACATGGAGAGGGGCATTCCATGAATATTTCCAGTTTTAGTAGTAGCTGGACTGTTAATATCCATGTGAGCATCAACCTGAAATGGGAAATCAAGAAACAGATATTACCAACGAAAAATTTTCAAATTTAAAGTACAAGGCAAGCACAAGTGCAAAGAACAACTACAATATACTGGTAATTACAAAGCATTTAGAAAAATATAAATACTGTATTTCTTCAAAATTGGTGCACAGGTACCTCATTAAAATTCAGTGAAAAAGAGGGCTCTCGATCCTTATATTCTTATTATCAAAGAAAGTGAGGGAGGAGTGGGGGGGGTGCTCATTTGACATTATAGTGGGTGCTTATTCAGCGAAGGCTGCTCATAAGAGCATGGGCACTTATTCAAGGAACACAATATGTTATTTCAAATATACATGAGAGATGTTTTACAACTAAAGCTGATGTAGAGCTGATATCCTTACACCAAATTAGACACAAACTACTTGCCAGCATGTTTACATACTATTAAGCTAAGTTATGTTGCCTTTAAAGAGATTCTTGCACAGAGGACATCAGATAAAAATAAGGAGGCTAAGTATAACTTAAAACATTGCTCACTGCAAAGTAAAATATTAACTAACCCAGAGTAAACCTAGGTTTCTTGTAACAGATGCATGGCCAAAAACTGAACCAACCGCTATGCTGTAGAGACAAAACACACAAAAACTAAGCAGGAAAATATACTAAGTGTGAAAAATCATGAATTCAAAATAATGCCTGGCAGTTGTACAACTCTTAACCCGTTACACTCTCACATCAGTATGCAGACTCTCCATACAGTAAGTTCTCTGTAAATTTCCTATGTGACTTACAAGGAAGGTTTGTCTAACAATCAGAAACTTCTTGAGTTTGCAATAATTTCCTTTATTCTTACAACCTTAAAGTTTATTCCGGAGTGAAACTGTTGGGAGAAATTAGATGCTCATCACTCTTTGGGTTAAAATTAAAAATTAAAAATCAAACCTTAACATGATGAGAATAAAAGAAACGAGAAAAGATTACCAATGAAACAACTTCTTGATTGTCAAACAAATTCTCCTTGTCAGTACCACAGGAAATGAATGGAGAATAGTATGGAGAATATCTATTCAGATGTTAGGGTGTAAAGGGTTAACTTCAAAGAGATTCCAAAGAGTAACTCAACCCCTTCCGAGACTGCTTGCATAACAAGGGTGTTATTCAGCAGTCTTCCACTTTCACCCATACTTGCAATTTTAAATTTTTGAACCTTTCACATATCAAAAACTATTATCAATAGGTTTAACACAGACAAGTAAATCACTGTGTCTCTGAAAACAGTAGATAGATAAAATCAACTTCAAAATTATGATATAATACCAATGGAATAGAGAATACTTAAAATAGTGAGATTTTGTTGGGCTACCTGTGATCTCCCCCTATTGTAAGAGAAAGCTTCCCTTCTTGCGTAGCTTTTGCTATTTCTTGGGCAAGCTGGCAGACAAAGGAATCAATGAAAATATTCGCACAATCAGAGTCATTTAAAATTTGCAGATTCAAAATAGATTTTGAAATGTTCATAATGCTTCATATTTGACTTAAGTCCTTGCACTTTATTTATGACAACTTTATTTAAATAATAACATATAACATATTATTATTAAAAAAGGGTTATAGAAGGGAGGAACTTAATCCTCGTTGTAAACTATACCCCAGACTTAAGTCAAAAACAGAGATTCTTTGGCTATATACTTTGCAGAGCTCTCTTGTTTCAACTTTACAACTTCAGCTACCTTTTTTAATTCAAATGAATGAAGGGAGTAGGTTTCTAAAGAAGCCATAGTGCTTTGTCAGTGAAGAGTATTCCAAAGTAATTTGGTTTTAACAACGTAACTGAATTAATTGACAATAAATATAAATTGGCCACCATAAAGAGTTGCTGAAGTGAAATAAACGGTCATGGCCAATTTACAATTTAACTCAACTCAGTTGATAAAACCAAATAATTTTTAACTCACACATATTATCTTCTGCTTCTACAATTCTTTTTGGAAAACCCTGTACCTTAACTGTGGAATACTGTATTATCTCAAATAATGCAGCATTGGCATGAGGTTTTTTTCTTTTTTTTAAAAAATGGGTTTAGATTGTGATGCATATAAATGGAGGTACTGTGTTAAATTATCACCCACCTTTTTTGCAACAGTTCCACATTCTACTGAGTTTTTCACCCTCTCTCTTGAAATGTTGTGATTTTCAATATGTGGTACAGTCATCTCTCCAAAATCTGTTATTTTGTAGCCTGAGAGTTAAACAATGTGCAAAAATGTTGGTAATTTGGTCACTAAACTCTCAAGTGTTTTTCAATTAAAAGTTCCAAGAGGTCAATTTTACCTAATTTCTCTATTTTGCGAACTAAGCCTTGTTTCCTCAAGCGGACTGGTCCTTCTTCAACACCCTTCCTAGGCTAAAAAAAGACAACAGAAAAAGACACATCTTTATCTTTAGAGATGCTATTTATATAATGTTTTTTCACAAGAGTAGTTTTTGATATGCATGAGGATTTGAAGATCAGAAATTCTAAAGGTGCAGTTAGATCATACTCTACCAGCTGAACTACAGGGATGTAACTGGGTAGCAAATGGTTAAATCTGAGACTTAATTGCAAGATTCCACAACTCCTCTTTGAAAATCCAATTGGGAGAGTGCCCGCTAAGTATAAAATTCATGATTATATTTGCTTTAATCAGATTATTGCAAGGTTCTGGCATATTAATGATAGGAAATTATTTAGTTATAATTCTGATGCTGGCTCTTTTATGACCCTTTTTTGTGATATAATGAATTCCACATTGCCATGTTATTACACAACTGAGGGAATATACACAGACATTCTCACAACAAAAACTCAATTAAAGCCACTCCAAGCAAATTACAGATTTTCCTTTCGTTTTGTTTCATTTTGTTTTGTGTCGTTTTGTTTTGCAAATTACAGTTAGCCTGTTTAAGAACAAGGAGCAACTGCAGAATACCCTGCCACTTTGGTCCACCTCATTTACATGTGTTAGAAGGCTTTGAAGATTGAGGTATAACACAATAAACATTATACTTATTCAATGACATAACATTAATTCTAAAATTCAGCCATTCCTCGAATCACCTGCTTTGCCTGACTCGTCAATGACATTAAAATCTTGAGAGAGATATTCAAACATGCAAAGCATTATTTGTTATGATCACTACATACTTTGATCAGGTATTGTTTGACAGTGCTGCAAATTAGGGTGATTGGGTGGAGGGAAATAATTAGAAAAAAATTTCTGGGATTTGTTCTTGGCTTAACTGCAGAATACCCCGCCACCCATTTACATGTCATTGAATAGGAGTAATGTGTATTGTGTTATGCCTCGATCTTCAAAGCCTCCCGACACATGTAAATGAGTTGGACCAAAGTGGCAGGGTATTCTGCAGTTGCTCCCAACAACTTAATTAGTTGAGTGGTTGGAAGTGAATACTAGGCAGTAATAGGGAAAATTTAGCTGGGAGAGGGTGGCAAATGGTTTATATGTGATCCGTGATCAAGCCCAAAATAGATACGCGACATATAAATTTTACAGATTTTAAGATTTGAAGTTTTCCCTTTAAAATTTTGTGACGCTTGAGGAGCAACTTCAGAATACCCCGCAACTCATTTACATGTCATTGAATAAGAATAGCGTCTATTGTGTTATTCCTCGATCTTCAAAGCCTCCCGACACATGTAAGTGAGGCGGACCAAAGTTGCGGGATATTCTGAAGTTTAGCCACGCTTGAAATACTGTTTAATGTACACGCGATGTGTGAATTTTTCTAGATTTCGTACGCGAAACGTGATCAGAACCCCACTTCGCTACCCTTCTGGGAGGGTACCGCAGGGGAGGTTACTATGCCCTCTAAAAAAAATATCATTGACTTTCCTTTGGGCTGAACGGACCTTTCGAATGCATTCTAAAGGGCAAACCATCTAGACATAAATATACTACACGATCTTAAAGGTATATACGCTGAAATACGACTTTACTCTTCAACTTCCTAACTTCTGAAAAAATTCATATGTCACAGGTCATCTTAGTGACGGATCACCTGTTATATTTCCTTGGTCGGAAGGTTTTCAAGTGGAAAAAATTCGTTTACTGTTCGCCTTATTTTATCACGTGCGCAAATTTTGATGCCGCTGAGGCGTAGATTTTTTGATGACACTGGAAACGACGGTGAAAAAGGAAAACAAAATTGCTTTAGTTTTCACACTGCGGGACTGCTCTATTTTAAAAAACAGTCAAGTATATATTAAATAATGGATATCGCCGTAATCCCATAAATAAACTATAAACGTTTACTAGTTAAACAAAAACATTTCATTTACCTGTCCGCCTGAAAAGGGAACCCCTATTAAAAATAGGTCCTGTTTTTTCCCTGAGTGACACAATCTGGCAATTTTCTTTGCCACGATAGGTCTTAGACGCCACCGATGTACAATTCTCGTCACATTCATCACAAGGAGAGTTCATCAGAGCGCACCTGATTGTGTAAACTGTACACTCTCCAGCATACCTTTAATTTGACCTCGTTCCAAGTCTCCTCGTTTTCTTCGAAAAACTGCAGAGGGGACGGCAGGGAAGATCATTTTCTTCTAGGATTCATTCATATGTCCCGAGATCTACTAAAATCGTGACGAAAATGCTTCTATTTAAATTTATTAAAGATCATTTTCTTTAATCAAGGCACAAGCAGTTCTGTTTTAGGAAAAAGCTCGCTGATTTTAATTAGTCACCTTCATTCCTACTCCAGAGAGTATTGAAATTTGCACTCTTTATTAGCTTAGTGGCCATGCAGACAGGTAGGTAAGGCTACCCAGCACTGCGATTAGGTTGCCATAATTTGGCATGTTTTAAGGCGAAAAATCAACTTTCAGCAAGAAGAAAGCTTCATTATGGGCTTAAAATCTTCCATACTTTTGCATGAAGAAGATATTGAGGAACTGCACAATGAGACTGGTTGTAAGTTGAAAGAATTTTGCTGGCAAATGGCAAATGCATAATGCTCTCCCTTGGGATGTACACTTTTTAAATCGTTTTTCACTACAAGTTATCATCTAAACGAATGTTTGATCGTTGTGTCCTTAGTTTCTCCAAATCAAATAAGAAGACTCTACAGTAGATTCAAAAGTCTTGATAAAGCAACAAAAGGCACGATAAGGTTGGTTAAATGTGTAGATTTAGAACCGTTCGTTTTTGCGCATAGAGATGAAAATCAGCTGTAACTCAGCAGGACCTGAACAATCGATGACAATCGATAACAATTAATCGATTGATATTGATAAACGATGAACAATCGAACGAAAAAGTTGCTGTAATTTTCAATTCTCATCAATTATCAATTATTATCGAAAATCAATTGAAATCGATCATTTTTTATTGTAAAACCCTAATTTCAAGAACTTCGATTTGATTTGATTTCAAGTAACTTGCATTTGAAGTCTATTCAGGTTTTTGACCGGAAATGGCATTTACACACAATCTTAAGGCCGAGCGATCAATCTCCTGACGCAAAAGCTGAAAGCAATTAGGATGTTTTGTGGAGGGAAATTTTCTGTCCAGTTGACGATATTCGATAAACACAAACTACTTTCATGTGATTATCAATCGTTCATTGATTAGCCAATAGCAGTCAATAACAATTTACTAACATGCATAGATTAAAATCAATTGATGTATTAGATTTCTGATCATGGATTTTGTTAATCGTTCAGGTCCTGAAATCAAGGAACATCAAGATTGATACAATAAAATGTTTTCTGTTTGATTAACAGTCGTGAAGATTTTATGCGCATACCTGAGTTGGCCATCAATCCAATCGGTGAACGGATTATTGATGCCTTCTTCATGAATGAAGAAAGCAAGTAAGTTCTCTCTTTGAAACTGTAATCAGATATCAAAGTTAATGTCTTGTTCTGGCTAATGGTGTAAGCCATGTAATCAATACTGTAAAAACATTCTTAATGGGATTGGTTATCACCAGCCTAATTTGAGCACTAATAGCACAGTGCATGTGTCATGACCCAACATTTAGTAAAGACTTAAGCCCCATTCAAATGGTCATGTTAGTTTATGATAGTTCTAACTCTCATGCACATTTGATCACAATACTATCATGCATTATCATCAACTATCATGTAGGTTGGACAAGTTCAAATCTGACATGATAGTTGATGATTGTTTTGCAGTTTTATCAAGGGACTGATACTAAATGATAGTTTTTTTGGTCAGCAGTTTTGCTAAAGACAGTCTCAAATTGAAATAGCAAATGCTAAATGACCAAAATCTGTCAAAATTTTGCAGAATGTCTCAAATTTCATCTCATTTCATCTGGTCATCTCCTGGTTGGCTTCAGTATTTTCAACTTGCAACTTTTGTCAACAATTGTCAATTATCATGAACCATTTGGATGCAAACATGATAGTCATGATAGTGAATAACAGTTGAAACTATTATGGACTATCATCAACTATTTGGCTGTTTGAACAGGGCAGTAAGTCACTTGCTCAGTGAACAGGAAAGAATGGTTTAAGGACCCAAATCTGATTGAAAAACTATAATAGACATTTATTCAAAGACAACAAAATTACACAAGCCAGTAGGGTAAGTCCAATATGTAGTCTTTGAAAAGTTTACAAAGACATGCCAAATAAGTGAATTCATGTTGTTAATAATGTACATGAAAAAAAAGTCACAGAAAGTTAAGACAGACAAAATTTTAAAAGCATGTGGGTACCATTTGTAATTTGCACTCATGTTATACCTTTTCACCTGTGTTACATGAGAATGCACTTGTTTTCAGCCAATCAGAAGTGCAACATTGTTTTATTTACATTATCATTGAGAAAACGTACTCAAAAGGTATATCTTTCTGCTAAATACAATAATTACTTTTAATTATATTTTTTCCAAGGGAAAGTGGAGAAGAAACCTGTAACTTCAGACAGTTTGTTAGAACCTTAGCGCATTTCAGACCATATGAACCATCGAAGGAAAACCCTCTTAACACCAGAGAGAAAAAACTTCAATGTAAGTTGTGTTATATTTACCTGAAGATATATGTGAAGTGTCTTTTCTTCAGTCAAGTTCCTTTGCAAAAAGTAAAATATTGATTGAGTGTGTTCATTTGTATGTTTTTGTTTTTGTTTTGTTAAGTATCAGCTTTTTACATCAGTGCATGTAACAAGGTTTTCACTGAGAAATTCAAAATTCAAGGCATCTTGAACTGAAAATGTCTAGTTATTCAAAAGATGCAGACTAACTTTACTGTGAATGAGACGCAGTTTCTAAACAAGGACTGTCACAGTGATTCAATCTGCGCAAAGGTCTTGCCCAAAAGAGCCCTCTGGCTCTGCACATAATTTAAGAGTGAGCTTACTCTCTCAACATTGTGTTGCTGTAACAACTATATCAGACACTTATGGTAAATATGGTGTTTAAAAATCAAATCAAAACTTTGATTTGCACTAAGTTTTGTATTATTTTCACTTTACAGTTACCTTCAAGATCTATGATTTGGACAATGATGGGAAAATATCCAAAGATGATCTCATGCAGGTACAGGGATGTATTTTTTACAATAATTATTATTAAACACTAAGAGCATAGCATCCAGGGCCTACATTTTTTTCAGCCTGTTAGACTTTTACAACATGACTCTTGCCTATGTTGAAACCAAATTTGAACTTTCTAAGTGAACAAGTATAAAAGCCAGCCATACCCCTCACCACAAAGGCAATTTATAATCAAAAGTTTAACTAATGCCTCTAAGGTTGTAATGGAAGGTTTTAAATTTAAAAGAATTTGTTTTGCCAGTCCTATTTTTAGTTGGTTCAAGTTACAAAGGTTGTAGATCAAAGGATTGCCTGTACATGATTTGAGCTATAGGTGATTTGCTCTTGACAGTTGCAACAATGCTTTAGCACTTAAACCCCCATGAATGACTGGTTTCTAATTTCTCCTTGTTGCATCACCCTTGAATCAAATAAATACATAAATAAATAAAATTAGAAATGATCATGGGAAACTCCTGATTGTCAAACAAATTCTGCTAGTCAGTACCAAAGGAAACATGAAGAAAACAGTGTTAGGATGTGAGGGGTTAAGTTCCTCAAAGTGAAGGCAATCCCAAAAAGGACTGTGGTTTGTGGTAATCAGTGTCAGAGCTTTTGACAATCCAAACAGATGTCATCAACTCAGTCATGGATGAATATTTACATGAGCTGGTGATTGTTATTTTCAAGGTCCTTCACATGATGGTTGGCAGAAATATCAGCGATGAACAACTTGGTGGGATCGCTGACCGCGCAATAAGTGATGCAGATTTAGATAAAGATGGTGTCATATCATTCGAGGAACTGAAGAGAGTAAGTGAATATCTTATGATTTACCTTTAAATAGTGCTGTTCAAAGCTTTCCTGCAGGCCAAAAATGGTACACTACATTGTGTACTCAGCATGTTGTGAGTACTTGATAAGCAATAGTCAAAAAGGACTTTTGTGTTTACACAGTGTGGCAAACACACCCATAAATATTCCAATTGAGAGATTGGAAACTAGCAAACTGCTGAAAGGCATTGTAACACACATCTCGTCTTAACATGAAGTGGGTGGGAGAATTTGCTGTAGTTACTCAAACCTCAGGTGCAGCAAGGGTTTTCATAACTTTTGGAATTCTTTCAATCCTGAGTGTTTAATTGAGGTTAATATTTTAGGCAAAGAATAAGCTTCTAGTGCTCAGTAAGCACAAAGTCATAATTTAAATGTTATAACTATGTTTTCATTCTCTGACAAACCTATAGACCAATGAGAGCATGCATTGAATCTCGTTCATTATCCTGTGAGGAGAAATTCCACCTTGGTCACTCATGAAGTGAAATGGTTAATTTGCTGTCTTTTTTAGGTACTGGAAAATGTAGACATGAACTCAAAGATGAGCATACGTTTCCTGGCTTGAATTCCTGAATCAGATGTGACTGAGAGAGAATTTTAATGCCACTGTATAGTGAGACAATTGTGTTTTGATATTTAAGAGCTGTGTACCTTTACATGAAAACTAAAGTGCAATTTTTCAGATATTTAAAGCTCTACATTGATAGAGCTTTGTACCCTCTGGAATATTTGAATTTATATATCAAGTAATGTTGTTTTGGTCAGGCAACAATTTATTTACAGTTCTTTTTGTAAGAAAATTAAGCATTTGTTTAGCATTTTTAAGGGTGAAAAGTAATTCTCCTGAGCCCAATGAATAAAGGGGGTAAGTTTCTAAAAAAACTGGTGCTGTGTCGGTGGGAGAGTATAACAATGTAATTTGGTATTATCAACTGATTTGATAACATAAATTGGCCACCTTAAAGAGTTTAAAAGCTGACGTTTGAGCATCAGCTTTTCGTCAGAGTAAATGGGCCCAGCTGTTCAAAGGGCAGACTATATAATGGTTATATCTCTATCCAAAGGTAAAATGTCTATTCAGCAGATAGGTGTTAACAGAGTGAATGGAGCCATCTAGCTGGAAGAGATTAATCCAGTGGCTTTGAATGATGGGAAACTCACTGATTTGTTTGAGAGGAGAGCAAAATTGTTTTACTAATATATATTACACTTTCAAATAGTATAGTAGCAACAATATGGCATGTTATTCTGACTTAAAATGTTCCTTGAGTCAGGCTTTAGTTTTGTAACCTTTCTGCTGTTTTTTGTATTAAAAAGAGAGATTAAATTTGTTGATTGATGTGTGAGACCAATCAAATCTGGAGCTTTGTTCGTTATTTTATTATTGGTGTAACCAAGTCGCTGGCTTGTATATATCTCAAAATAAGTTGCAAATCCAAATGTAGTATTTTCTGTAACTATAAAGATGAAATAAATAAAGGTAAATTGCATATGATTATCATTGGGTAGACTTTTTTTTGTTCATGTGATCACTTCTTTCCCAATAGTAAACTAATAATGCCTCAATTTTGTTTGTACCCACTGGATAATGATTTTTTTTTTGTCAAAGGAAAGAGTTCTGCTCATCTTCCCTTTCCCTCTCTTTTTATGGTGGGGTTTGTCATGCCCATCTCAAAGATGACCACTGTCCATGAGACAAGCACAAGAATTTTGGAGTAAAAGTAAAAGAAGTTCTGTGAAGTATTTTAAAGAAAGATTCTTAAGTCTTTATTATTATCTTTTATTTTCAATACGGATAGTTCTAACCAAACTTTAGTTACAAACTAATTAAGAAAAAAAGTATATCTCCCAACTTCTACTGCTATTTCATTAACTGTTGCTGACTTCCTATAATCATTTGTTTCAATATATTCATTACTTTGGAGATCTCCATTTTGATCATGGCCTCCAAGAATTTCAGTGTTGTAGGTAAAGAAATGTGAATTGTTTTTAGTTAATCTCTTTATTAACATCCAAAAAAGGACATTCCTATTAAAATTTATTTCTATCCATTGCCAAGTGCATCCAATAAGTCATGAATTTGTGTCTATCTCCACAAGATTTCCTAGCATGGCTTTGTTAGAATTACATACTATTCAAAATTACATAAAAACTCATGATAGTGATTAAGGGGAGATATTTTAAACTTTGGGCATTGCTTTACATTGGATCATTCTAAGATCATGTCAATCTGTTCCATCCTTAACCTGCCTTTTCCTTATTCATTTTTATTTTCTTTCCTTCTTTTCTAATGTGTATTTTTACCCTAAAAAACCAAATTGTTCAAGGTTTCCTTCACCAGGAAGGTTATTTGTCATTTTGCCAGAGACTACTCAAAAGATACAGAGAGGATCTTCTAACACAGCTCGTTTGTTGTGTTTATGATGTAACAGATCAGCAATGCTTGAATGATTATACACTACACAAAAATTTTAACTCAAGCAATAGCCTCCTCTCCAACTGAAAGGAATCTTTTTTATGATAATTACAATTAAAAAATCAACTCAATTGTTCTGTTTTATTAACTTGTCTGATGCAGGATTCCTTGTGTAATTTGTGTGTCACACTCATTTTGATTGATTGATGTAAGTTTTGATTTACTAAGATATGGATTTGATATAATCATAACTTCTACTAGTTATATAACAATGTTGTGATTTTTTTAGCAATGATGAAAATTTTGTGTTTTAATATATACATTTTTAGGACTGGAAAAATAATTGACCATTAGTTTGTAAAATGAATGTGAGGCACAGTGTGTAAATATTAATGAAATATTAATTTTTCTTTTTCTTAAAAAATCTTATGTACACCACAGCTCCAAGAATGGCCAATTCAACAATAATGATACATAACAGGATCAACTTGTTTGTAGCAATTCTAGAAAAGAAAAAAAACCATCTGAAATGTTTTCACATTTTAATGATAACATGCTTTGAAGTAAGGGAGTATGAGGCTTAGAGCAAAAGTTTACTGTTACAATGAAAGTTTATATCTATAAAAAGATTTCAGCAGTGGAAAGAGTGTAGAGGAAATCAGAAAGATTTACAGTTTTTAGGCACTTGACAATAACACTTGCAAGGACAACTTTAACACATAAACTTTTACATATTAAACATTTTTAAACCGCAAAACTGCCCTTGAACCTCATATTTACATGTAAATGCAAAAGGGCTTAACATTGGTTTGATTCCATCACCCTCTCCACATTTACAGCATTTACAGCATTTACTTGACTCTTTTACCCCCAAGATCTCATTAGTAATTCTCCTTTCCATCTGCTATACAACTCTTATGATGCAAGTTCTGAGAATTTGGTATTCGAACGACTAATAGTCCCCTTATTGATATTTTCTTTATTGTCATCACTTACCTGTTTGACATTAAATCAATTGGTATTGTCAGGAGAAATTCCATGTGGGTCACTCATGAGAGCTTAAGGGTTAACACAACTGATTGACAAGTTTAGGTCATGCGATACAATTTTGCAAAGGTCTCTTTAATGTGCTCTGTATGCATTCTCCTTACATATTATCTTTGCCCTTTACTGTTTAAAAAACCACTGAAAAGTTGTCAGTTTGTTGTTTATGTTTTCAAAAATCCTACCCTATTTTTCAAATTTAAAACCTTCTTAGGACTTCCTGCCCCTTTAATTTCAAGGTACCTACCATCTCTATCACAGATCATGAGAGTGCTAATCAATCATACCCAAAAATCTCCTTACCTGATTGCCATACTATTCAAAATTCTTCTGCTTTTTCCTAAGTCCTGATCAACATCCTTGAGCTGACAAATTAAAATAGAAACTACAAGTCAGTCATGCAGTTAGCTTGTGCAAACAACAGTTTTGATCCCTAATTGGTATGTTTATGTTCCCTTACTGAAAGATTGTCTCCAGATGTTTATTAAAACTGTACTCAAGAGATGTGCCCCATCCAACCGAAGGTTATCCCTGTTTCTGTAGCATGAAGTGACTAGAAGTATTACTACGCATGTACCTCCCCTGGATGGGATAACAGTCCATCACAAGATTAACCCCCTGCATTTCATCAGGCTTCCCTGAAAATACACTGGTACTCATTTATACTCCTGGTTGGAAAGAGGCACTGTGAGAACAAAGTGTCTTGCACAAGAGCATAACACAAACATTAATGCTAGTGTGATGAGTTATATGTTAATCATAACCATTACAAATTCCTCAAATATTATCAGTGCATTTGCAGCTTCATTTTTCACTAATCACTCTGTACAGTTGTAATTGGACAGTGTAATCAGACAGTTGGCTGTAATTGGACAGTCGAAGCAGCCAATCATACTAAGTCCACTCAGCTAATCCACCAATCACAGAAATGATCAAAATAACCATAGCAACAATCACTTATCCAAAGAAAAACTGGGGAACTCCCAAAATGGAGGAGTTTTTCACTTAAGACATTGTCTCCACTGGAGATATTTTTTCTAGGTGTATTTTTTTTTTTTAAATCAAAATGGTTATGATTAATTAGTAACAGGACTTATTTTCATCCAATTCTGTCTGTAATCATACTCATGATTAACAAATTGGACTCCCACTTCGCAGTCCTCCTATTTTGTTAATCACTTACAAGTATGATTAGAGACCGAATTGGCTCCACTTGGTCCTTTAACCATTATTAAGTACACAGCATTTTGTATTTCAGTGTATTACTCTGCCTTGTTTCTTCACCTTACAAGTCCCTGATTTTGAATTTCTTTCTTTCATGATTCGACATCCTCTAGGTTTTTCCTTCTTTTTAAACTTAAGCACAAGAATTATGCCACCTCATACTGGGAGTTTCCCTAACTTTTTTCATAGATGGCTGCGAACTGGTGTAATTGGCAGCTGTGCTTGGAAAGGGGTTGCAAGGCAATACCCAAACACAAGGGTCTGCTTACAGGCTTACCAGAAGACAGTGAGCGATCTTACAAGTGGTGGTAGACCTCCCAAACTGGCTTTTATTGAAACCCACGTCAAACCAAATTAATTTGACCAAATAAATGAGGAGTAAGATGCCACAATAGAGAGCAAAATTTCCATGCTGTGATATTGTGAATAGGCAGATCACAGTGCTTCAACTGTTATCCCTACCCTGTCTCTTGTCCTAAAAAGAGATTCCCGCTGATCTCCAAGTTCGTCAATAATTTCACCACCAATTTGTTCTGCAACAAGTATTAAAATAAGAATTAGGCCACATTTCCTTTTGGTAATCTCACACCCCTATATCAAAGAAAACAAAATTAGGTCATTTACAAAACCAAGACTGTTTGCAGAGAACAGTTTCTAATTTAGTTATAATGAGTGGTTATGGAGTCCAATGCAAACTCTGATGACCTGTCAACAAACAGATCTCCATATAATGATAATTGAAATAATAATAATAATAATAACAATAACAATAAAATAATTATCAAAAATTAAATAATTACCCTTGCAGCAAGAAAAAAAACTAAAAACTCAAATCAATATTACTCAAAATGGTGCAAAAATTCATATCCGAAATCATTATGAAATGGAACAAGAGAATAATATACAAACAGGATAATACTCCCCACCAAAGAAAAACAAAAAGATCTGACTTTCAATTCTCCCTTAGCTACTCCAAATTTCCTTGAAAATTAGTTGCAATAATTTGTTGTTAGATCAAGACAACAACTTTTATCTGATAAGCTTCATTATTCACATTACCTGTTTGCTGGATAATGTATATTTATCAAAGGGAGAAGTTGCATATTAATCACTTCTGTGAGTTAAAGGGTTCGATGGAGAATGCTGCATAGTTGCTAAATATTCTGCAATCTCTGTCATCCAATCGACATCATGGAAACTGTTTATATTCACAGATAACTGTAGGACCAAGGGTAAAACACCTAATATATTTATTATTTGGTCTAATTTTGAGTGTTACTCAACTTACCAGTCTCCACAGCAACCCTTGTTGATCTCGCAATACTTTCTGAGGCTCTGTTCAGCATATCTGTTCCTTGTCTCACTTTGCTTTTCTGAGGAGCCTTATTCAAACCCACAGAATAAAGCAAGTTTTTGCATGGTAAAACACTAATCAGCACATTTGATCCGAATAGACAATACCAAAATTACAGGATAGAGACAATACAGCCTTAACATACCATTGGGTCCTCATCTAACAGTTCCTCTCTTGCAAAAGTCACATTGCCCTGTCCTTTGGGTTTGCCCTGCCAATATAATAACATAAAAAAAATACATCCCATTACATTTCTTGAGAAATTTTGTCTTGCTAACCCTTTAACTCCCAAGATCTAATTAGCAATTTCTCCTTACTGTCTGCTATACAGTTCTTGTGATGTTAGTTTGGAGAATTTGGTACTGAGTCAACTTATAATCACCTAACTGATATTTTTCTTCATTCTCATCACTTGTCCAGTTGATATTGTATTGATATTGTAGGGAGAAATTCTGTCTTGGTCACTAATGGGAGTAAAAGGGTTAAAATGAATGCAACACAGTGGCCAGGATTTACACAGAGTCAGTCACCTTATTAACCAACAAACCACATGTCTCTTAAGTCATGAATATAAAAAATGCTTTCTTGCATTTCAAGGGAAAATTAGCTAAAACACTTATCCAGGGAACAACTATTCTTACCACATCTCTTTTAAGTTTATCAAAATCTCTCCTATAGCTGCGTATCCTGGACATCATGGAATTTCTGTAACTGGCTGGGGCTACTCCAGCTTCCTCTTCCATTTCTTCCAACTGAAAAAAATATGATTGGCTTGAAATCAACATACAATATATTTCTACCATAAATAATCATATATAGCATTATTACATAGCAGGGATTTCAGGGCATTTACCATTTCTAGGAAGCTAACTTAGGTAGTTGTCTGTCTTTTGGTAGCAGGGGAAAGTTTAGAATGTCCTGCATATTAATAATGGTAATTGAACTGAGTGGAGTGCAATTTGGGCTGAAATCATACATGTGATTTCAAAATCGAATGAGCACACAGTGCGAGTTCGATTTGAAATCACAAGTATGATTTCAGACCAAAATTGCATGGCACAAGGTTCAATTACCACTTTATTACTTCCATTTTGAAATCACCCAAGTACAGGACTTGGTCAGTTCAAATATTTTATTGATGCAGTACTGAGCTAGTTTGAAATTAAATTCATCCATTTTTTTGAGGTAAAAAAACAAGAGTTTTGGAAAAAAAGGTTGCAAAATTTGCCAGATGATACTCTTTGTCTTTCATTTTCCTGCAATTACATGGGTTACTTTAAACAAGCCTTGAAATCTGATTGGTTGTTTTGTTTTCAGTGTAGCATCCTCATTGGCTGGGAAAATGATGCGATTTAAAGCAAAAAATGGTGCGATTCGTGAATAAATCACACCAATTAGAGCCAGTCAGATAACAGGGACCACCAGTGATTTCAAAATGGGTGTAATAAACCCTTTAACCCCTTAGAGTGACTACCATATAATTTCTCCCAAGTGTAGAACCCCTGCATTACATGGTAAGGTCATGTGAAAAAAAATGAAATGAACACCAACTAAATATTCTCTTGATTGATAAACAAATTCTCCTTGTAAACACCTTAGGAAATGTATAAAAAACAGTATGGAGAATATTCATACTGATGTTAGGGTGTAAAGTGTTAACTCTTTACACCTTAACATCACTATCCACCATCTCCATACTTGTCTCTGCATATTTGCTCTGTTTGCAGTGGAATTCTCAGTTTAACTCACCAAATTTTGGATAAATGTTAAATTAAACATCTCAAAATGTCCACGAGATCTCTTACTTTTCAATTCTGACATTGCCTCCACTAGCACACATATTAGTTCCTAACCCTACCCCCCTCTCCAACAGGTAGTACATCTCATCATTGAAATAAATCCAGTAGAAATTGTTAGACAGGAAGAAACACAATGGTAAAAAAAGAAAACCGAAATTTTTTTCAGAAGGATGGGTATGAAACAACATTGCACTTAGTGTAACTAGCACACGGAAAATTCACAAGCAGCCATAAAACAAACCTTAAGTCATTTTCTAAAATTAATCATATAAATTACTCACAATTAAGTTTGCATCTTCGATGTTCTTTTCAACTTCCCGAATAGCGCTCTTCCGCGATTCTAAGAGGAGAAACTTCAATTTAGCTCAATAGCGACGCTAAATTAAACTCTTATTGATGGACAAAATGAGAAAATTTAGACAAATGGCTGGTTACCTCCGGTCAGTCTTGGAATTTTGTTGCTTATTTTCGAACGTATGTCTTCATGGAGATTTTTAAGTTCATCCTCAAGGTCTTCGAATTTTTCAGAAGACATTATAACAGCCTAACAAAGACGAAAAAGTTATATTCTTACAGTCTTCTTCTGCCAAAACTTGTGACTTCTCAGACTACCGGAAAGCGAAAGCTGTCCGCAATGGTATTGTGTCAGCGTGCAATGCCAATCATTTGATGCGCGAAGGGCTATTCAGACATGCATGCCCACTGCAATCGATTGATCCCGAATTCATTGTTTTGATGTAATATTTCCGATTCTTGCTTCCTCTCTTTTGTATATCAGCCCACAAACTGCCGAAGTAGGTCATCAGCATTTAAAAGTCTGTTTCCCTTGTCAAGATCTTGCAGTCTTAGGCTGTCAGGCCAATTATGTAAGCCGTAAATCCGGTGCAACGAGAGGAAGCGGACTTCTCAGTACGTGCGCGCTTTTGTAAAAGCCTCAGTCAGAAATTTCATTGGATCTCAAGAAATGATTACAATTATCGACTCTGTTAGCTGTGGTTTGGAATGATATGTGATTACTGCAGGATATCATGCCCATATCTGAGTATGAAAACAATTTAACCGCCACAAAATGGAAGGGAATGTTTGTACCCGCGCTCAGAAAGGTAAGCAGTTGTGCGAGAATTCGACCCATCATTCCGCTTTCGGGGGAAAAGGGTGACATTCCGATTGATTGATCTCCTCAACCTGCATGCAGATGTGATCTTCGATCTCTGAACAGCAAGGTTCGTATTCAAGGGATGCGGTTTTTCGGCTTAGAACGTTACTGTACGGAATTGTTAATTGCTTTGCGAATTTTGTAGGTTGAGGACAAGGAGGCGTGATTGAAATTGGGTCATAACTTACTGGGCCTTTCAAATTCGCTTTTAGGTGCAATCGCAGGTTCACCCTGCGTTGAAAGTACACGACGAAGCGCTGGAGTATATCGAGTCTTTGATCGTCCAACTCATGAATCATCTGTGCGCCTGCCAGCCACGTTCAGTCGCCGACGTGGAGGAACGAGTTATGAGCTCATTCCCTCATCCGATTGATAAATGGGCAATCGCAGATGCGCAAGCTGCGATCGAAAGGGGAAGGAAGAGAAATCCTGTGGTTTTACCGGCGGACAAAGTGCATGCTATAATCAAGGTGATGTTGAGTTCGTGCTAGGAGCGCAGTTTGTTTTCCTTGTTAAAATTGAAGCAGCTGTCATGTTGGTATATCCATTTCGTTTATTGAATTGATCAACAACGTTATTAGGATTCGCTTTGAAGAACTTCCTATTTTTCTTTCACTTTGGATTATGTACAAGTAACAAGTTGTTTATTGTTTATTTGAGATATACTTTGCGCTAGTGGCAGTGCAAGAATTACTTTCAAGATGTCCGATCGATTTTTATGTTAATCTTGTAAAAACATGTCGTTAGATCTTAATAACTTAACCCTCAGCTGCTCGTCCAATTGTTTGTGCGTGCCCCGCTATTCTTGTGAGAAACATAAACTTCCACTACCGCTACTTCCTCTTCCACTATCGGATTAAAAAAGTTGTAGACAAACTTTAACTTTTCTCAATGTACAAAACATCCGACTGAGTAATTGTTTGCAACTCAAAATGAAAACTCACTTTGCGTTTCACTCTTTAAATTGTTCCAAATCATCCTAATTATTGTCTTAATTTTTTGCTTATTGCTTACGTGAAACTTAGCAGTGATTCTACCATAAAATGTTGTGTTTTGAGTTGTTTCGAAGGATGTTATTAGAGCGTTAGGATTGGAAAATAGTTTTTTGTATTCAGGAACTTCAAAGTAGGCACAGTGCATTTCTTGGAAGAAGATTGCAACTACTTCTAATTTGCTTTGACTTCAACCCATTAGTTGCAGTTTCCTTGTTTCATCCTTTAAAACCAAATGGTGCTTAGAAAAATTATGCGTAGGTGTCACAGGCAAGAACTCCTGACTTCCACCTGCCATCCACACCTCAAAACATCTGTACTTAAACACCCTGACAAAGAAATTTTGTTGTGGTCTGCAGGATATTCTTGGATTCAGGGTGGAATCCCAAGTAAGCCTTTACATTGTGGCTGTTATGGAGTACATATCTGCTGATATTTTAAAGGTAAATTATTTAACCCTTTAACTCCCAGATCAAATTTGTCATTCTCCTTACTGTCAACCCTACAATTCTTATAATGTTAGGTCAGAGAATTTAGTATTGGATCAACTAATTATCCCCAAATTGATATTTTTCTTCATTCTCATCACTTATCTGGTTGATACTGTATTGATATTGTAAGGAGAAATTCTGGCTTGGTCACTCATGAGAGTTAAAGGGTTAAGAATGGTTAATGTTAATCTAGAGATGGTATCAAGGAGATTAGACACATATTAAAAAGATATTATTTTGCAAAAAACATATGAAAGGCTTATGAATTATATACAGAAAATACATGACAAAGTATTGGATGAATATAATGTTTGATGCAAGAAATGTTCAAAGTCATCCTTCCCAATCAAATACATACAAAATACAGGGCTCTTATGGGTTGTAGAAAGTCACAGTAAATAGCTGAAAATTATATTTCGTAGAATACCAAAGCAAGGTATGACAAACATCACAAAAGATGTAAGCATTTTTAGGCCTACAAAATAGAGTGATAACTCATCTGGTTGAAAAAAAAATTGATATTATGGTAAATATAGGGTTTTTGCATAAAGGATAGGCTTGTTTACTTGTTTATTGGGAAAACTCGCTGACAGAAAGGTTTTGAGCTTTAGGTTCACAGTAGAGATTTTTTTTATCATGATATGTTTTTTTTTCTTTTTTATTTTAGCTTGCTGGTAACTATGTGAAGAATATCAGGCATGTTGAAATTACTTGCCAAGACATTAAGGTGGCTCTGTTTGCTGACAAGGTTAGTTGTACGTTTTTGTTCACCTCTGTAATGGCTGTGGGGATAAGCTTTTGATCTCTGAATTTGGCTGTTAATTTGTTGAACTTGGTTAATATTTTTTATTAGTATTAAATAAAGCACTGTACTCTGGCAATGAAAGCATAGAAGTCCTTTTTCATGTGATGGAAATTATATGGTCAGGGCATTACACCTGCCATCAGGTGGTTTTGTGAACTAGTTGCTATGGTTACTAAGTTGTGTTTTGGCAGGTCTCTTTTAGCATCACAAGGTGCCCCAACAAACTGCAGTTTCATATCTATGAGAGGGTTGTAATCCAACTTGTGCACTCAGTAACCTGATGCATTTTATATTTTTTTTGATAGGTATTGATGGACATGTTTCATCCTGATGATGTGGAGACATCAGTGGAAGCAGAGGTTAGTAAAAAGAAAAAAGCAATTGACAGCCTTCACTCTTTCCTTGATAATTCCAACTCTCTTTTTGATAAAGGTAGAATTATTTTTTTTTATCCCAACATTAATAGGTGAGGAATTCAGTTGATTAATTAGCATGGAGATCAGTCAACTGTGACGCAGTCAGCCAACTAGCTAGTAGTTAGGCAATGAATCAGCAAGTGAGCAAGTTAGTCTGTCAGTCAGGCAGTCAATCAGTTAGTCAGTCAATCAGCCAGACAGACAAAATGGAACTCCTTAGAACAAAAGAGGGAATTTCCATCCCTGGTGGAGTGCTATAAGATTGTATCCAATCTTAATAGTCCAAAGTTCAATGATTATTTTGAACTGTGCAGGAGCACTAAGACGAGATCCAACCATCAATATAAGATGTAAACCAAACTCAAAATTAAATTGTTGTAAATATTCCTTCTTTGTTAAGATAATCAAGTTTTGGAACAATCTTCCAAGTAATGTAATAAATTGCCATGATATTCGAAACACCAACAAGTTTAAACTAAGATTTAAAAATCACATGAATGTTTATTGATTGGACATTCAATACTTTTTTTAATGATATTTCTGTGATTTTTATATATTTTTATCAACTTGCTTTCGTGATGTAAAATTTATTTCTTTTTTTATATACCTTTATTTTTTTCAGAGTTCCTTAATATAAGGTTAACCTCTGGGTTTCCTTTTTCTTAACCCTTTAACTCCCAAGATCTGATTGTTAATTCTCCCCTCCAGCTGCTACACATTTCCTCATAAATGAATTATGAGATTTTGGTGTTAGATCAAGATAACAACTTCTACCTGATAAGTTTGAGTATTCTCATTATCTGTTTGCTGAATAATGTATGGATATTATAGGGAGAAGTTACACATGAACCACTTCTTGGAGTTAAAGTGTTAATAACAGGGTTTGTTATTAAAAATACTGATTATTTTGAAATAAAGTATTGTATTGATATTCACAGTCAGACGGTCCGTTAAATTAATAATCAGTTATACAGTCAGTCAGCCAGACAGTGAGAAATTCAATAGTCAGACAATCAGTCATTCAAGGAGCCAGTGAGTCAGTCAGGTATTCTTTCTGTGAGTCAGTTATTTAGTGGGTGAGTGAGGGCTTTAGGTCATTGGGTCAGTCAGCCAGCCAATCTGTTATTACAATTATTATTGTGATAGCTTTTGTTCACATTGTTTTGGTGACTAATTATCAAAGTTATTATTTTGTATGACAGACATTGAGCAGTCAGGCAGCTCTGACCTATGATGAAGTTGTACGTGAAATGATGATTGCTGAAGCACAATACATCAGAGATTTGAATATGATTATCAAGGTAATATTTTCTTTAATTTGCATATGTTGCAATTAAGTGATTTTGTTAGACTTAACCCTTTACCTCCCATGATCTGATTGTTAATTCTCCCCTCTAGCTGATACATATTTCCTTGTAAATTAGTTATGAGAACTTGGTGCTAAATCAAGATAGCAGCTTCTACCTGATAAGTTTGAATATTCTCATTACCTGTTTGCTGAAAAATGTATGGATATTGTAGGGAGAAGTTTTGTGTTAATCACTTCTGGGAGTTGAAGGGTTAAGAAATATAACTCAGCCCAGTCCTCCATAATGCATACTCCTACCCCACTTAGATATTCTTTGTTGAGTTTGACTCCTCTGCTCTGCTCTTTATGAGGCTTAATGTAATTTATAGTTCTGGATAGTTATGCTGACACTAGCACTCTTATTTCTGAAATAAAAAAGGCATCTTAATTATAATTCAAACATAATATATT